ACTCCATTTGTTACGGTTGAAGTAATCAGTGGGATTGGGGAGCCGTGAAGGGAAAAGGGGGAGCATGATGAATATGGGGGGCTGCTACCTATGCTGGCGGTTCTCGAACCAACGAATAAGGTTCTGGATTCTGGCATGTACTATAAGAGTTCTGTCTTGTAAGAAAGACCTGCTCTTGCCATGACGGGCAAAAGCATGGGAGATTTGGCATAACCTCCCCACTCCCGTTCGCGTGTTGTGAGGGACCCATCAACAGATCAAGCATTAACAGTGGTTCCGACACCGGGACCTTGCATTAAACAGAGTGCGCTGATCGGTGAAGGGAGGTCGCGATTGGGTGACCACTCGGCAGCGCGACTGCCATTTGAGAGGGAAGAGACTACCACTTCAAGGATCGGCAATCAGCGTGGAGAGATCGATGGAGAGAACATCGATCCATAGTATTGGTGAGGAAAATGCGACGATTCAAGGAAGAGAGTGGCGGATTGGTGGTGGCTAGTGCCACGTTGGAGAAGTCGCGGCCAGGGGCGACAGTGGGGAGATCGATGGAGAGAACGTCGATCCGCAGTCTCTGTGCAGAAGAAGCGACGATTTGAGGAAGAGAGTGTTGGATTGGTGGTGGCCAATGCCGCATGAGGGGATCGTCATAGCTGGAAGTGACGGTGGAGAGATCTAAGAGAGTGTGTCGATCTGCAGCTTCATGCGATGAGGAGAGATCGGCGGGTTGGTGGTGGCCAATGCCACATGGTGGAAGCATCGTAGCCGGAAGCGACAGTGGAGAGATCGGCGAGTGAGAGTCGATTTGCGGCTTTCTACAATGAGGAGAGCAGCAAATTGGTGGTGGCCAACACCTCATGGTGAGTCGTTATAGCCAAGAGTGATTGTGGAGAGATCGGCGGGAGGGAGCATCGACCTGCATTGATTGGCGGGCCCTTGCAAGAGAAGATCGGCGGATTGGTGGCGCCCAACGTTGGCGGCAGAGTATCGCGGCCGGGAGCAGAGCGGAGCAATTGACGGGCAGAGCGTCGATCCGCGATTGCGGTCTAAAGGAGATTTATTCGGTTGGGAAGAGAGGCAGAGAAGGGACACGGGGCTTTCTACAGAGCGACTGCTCATGGGTGGGGGCAGCTGCTAATCGATCACCTTAGGGTGCAATGGTTCGGATCCTTGCCTTGACTCGTCAAGTTGGTCATTGCCGGGGTGATTGCTTATAGACTAGCTTGAGTTGTAGCTATCGTGCGTGTTGCTTGGCCGTGAGAACGTGTGCCAGATTTGGATGCCCAAATTGGTGTTGTGATGGGACTCACGCTGGGTGTGTGAGTGAATCCTGGGACAGGAATGGCGATTTGTTTGTGTTGGGGGTGTCATAGGACTTGGCCAGCTCGCCGAGAGGGCAATGCTGTGTGAGAGATTGTGGCTCTTGGTGTACAGATTGCGCTTGGGGGGGTCAGCTCGCCGAGAGGGCGATGCTGTGTGAGAGATTGTCGCTCTTGGCGCACAGATTGCATTGGGAGTGGGTCAGCTCGCCAAGAGGGCGATGCTGTGAGAGTGATTGTGTTGCTGGCGCAAGGAGCACATTGGGAGTGGGTCAACTCACTGAGAGGGCGTTGTTGTGTGAGCGAGTGATTGTAACTCTTGGGCACAGAGAGTGCATTGGAGGGGACCAGCTCGCCGAGAGGGCGACGCTGTATGCGATCGATGGTGTTTCTTACGGTGAGAGTGCATGGAGAGTGCACCGAATGCAGCAAGGGCACTGAGCATACAACATGTTGAGAGAGTTTCTTTTTTGTGACTCACCTAGTCATCAGTGCCTTGGGATGGTGATCGGTGGGAGTGTGATTGATGGGATCGGTGGGAGATGGATTGATGGGATTAATGGGAGTGGGATTGGGGTGCTAACCTAGGGAGCATACCAAAAAGGCAGAGGGTATTTTTATGCTTTGGGTTGCGTGTGATTGGCTCAAACTGTTTGTGTGATTCACCGTGACTGTTCTTTTGTGAACAAATTACATTTTGATGTGGTTTTGGCTTGTTTAATTGGGGCACGTGCCACTGTTCGGATTTTGGGAGAGAGTTTTGACGAACATTGCTCCTGGACTGTGGGGACGCAGTCGACTTGAGGGGTATGTCCTATTACAGTTGAAGTAATCAGTGGGATTGGGGATTCGTGAAGGGAAAAGGGGGAGACATTATGAATATGGGGCGCTGCCACCTATGCTGGCGGTTCTCGAACCAACGAACGAGGTTTTGTGGCGTGCTTTTCAGCTCGATGCGCGGGCGATGTGCTTGCCGCGGCGCCCAATCCAGCCCGAATGGGCCTCCTCTGCCGAATAATGGCGGGCGGTCTGGGGCGCTCGTTCCTTCGGGGTGCGCAGTGTAGGCCCAGTCCTGCGATCGGCCGGGTGTGGGGCGGCAGTGCGCACAGTGAGTGTGCGACACCGGTGCGGCTCGTGGGTGCAGCCGCGCGGAGGCGAGTGGTCAGCAAGAGGTACAACCATCGGGCATCGGGGCCACCCTTTGGCGTGCCCCGCATCACGTGACAATGCAGCGTATCCCTAGTATCTTATCCCTAGTAAACTCAACTAAAGGATGAGATTGTCTATTAATGTACTTTATGCGTCCCAGATAAGAGTTCTGTCTTGTAAGAAAGACCTTCTCTTGCCACGACAGACGAGAGCATGGGAGATTTGGCGTGACCTCCCCACTCCCGTTTGCGCGTTGTGAGGGACCCATCGACAGATAAAGCATTAACACATCCCGATTGCCGGATGTGGTTTGCGGCCTTCCGACCACGGCGTATTGCCGAGAGATTCCTCCGCCTCCTCTAGGCGAAAAAACGCCCGGCAACATAGTGTGGCCCCGGGCGAAAATTGGACGGACGCCGGCCCACGCGATCCCTCGGCCCATGACTCACCCCTCCCCTTCCAGCGCACACACCTTTCGCGTCGCGGCCGCCCCACACCGAGCATCTCGCCCTCCTAGCGGAGCAGCCACGGCGTGGCCAGACGCCGCCTAGCCAGAGGCCGCCACCCCCGCCTGACCCGCGGGCGCCGCCGCGAGCCGGCGACCGATCCACCCTCCCCGCGCGGCTCTCGCGAGCAGCGCCGAAATCGCATCGATGGCGGGCCTGCGACTGGACGTGGCACCAACGGCGGGCGGAGCAAAGGTGCGGTCTGCAACCGTCACGTGACACCCTTCCCAGGATCGCCTGCCGGAGGCGTGGGGCATGATTTCGAATCCGCGGAGGCATCGCCGAATCTGCGCGCGCCCGAGCCGGTTTGGGAGCCGGGTGGGTGGCTGGGTGGGGGCAGCGTGGGGCGATGGCGCGCGGTGGTGCATTGGGGGGGCGGCCGTTGTTGTGGAAGGTCGCGCGGCCGGAATTGGCGCGGGGCGGTTTCGGACGGCCCACGGGCGTCCGCGGACCTGCTCCCACCCGCCTTCTCCGCGCGGCCCGCGACGGGCAGCCGCCCTCCCTGCCCTGGCCCTTTAACCGGGCTGCGCGCGGCGCGCTTCTGCGGCGGCCGCCCCGTCCAGGACGCCGCAATCGGGCCGGCCAGCCGCAGTTGCCCCCCCTTTTGACGCTGGAGCGCATCTTTGCCACCTTACCCCTCCCCCCCCCCCTCCGCCTGTCCTGAGCTCGCGCGATGCGCCACGTCGATGACCTGGTCCGTTGTCCTGTGCGACCCCCGCCTGCCTGCCCGGCAGATCCGTACCATCCCCGCCACAGGCCGAAGCCATCATCCACAGCGAAGCGCGGGACTTCACGACATCAACCCCGAAGCCCCACACCCGATTACGCCCAAACGCCCCCTGGTCAAAGCCCCAATCCCCCCATGGCTTAGTGGGGGTCGCTCTTTGTATTACCTGTTTCTCTGTCTCTTTGTGACAAATCTTCACCACCTCCCCTTTCTCCTGTTCGGTCTGTGCGCGCCGGCTTGGTCGCCATCATCTCACCCAGACCGACCTCTCGATCGATGGTCGCATTCCGCAGGTGCTGGCGATGGCAGTGTCCTCACCGATGCCGGCGGGGCGGCCGCGCGCCGCCGCGGCACCGTCCGGCGGATCCTGCGGCAGCGGCAGGCCGGTGGAGGCGCCCATCCGGCGGATCATCGGCCCGGCGGTCAGCCTGCACCCGCGATGCCGGCCCTCTAGGGCGGCCCCGCGGTGCTCGGCCATCTCGGACGGAGGCTCTCAGGTGCAATCGGCCGCGGGACGGGCGCTGCTCTCGGAGTGCGCGTCGCCTGATGGGCAATGATCCGCGATTCGTGTGGAAAATGCCGTCAATGGAGGTGTTGGCGTTCGCCCGTTCCCTGTGTCGTTCATTGTTTATTGTTGCTTGTTCTTACTTGTTGTCTGTGTTGCATGTGATTCCGGTTGGGTTTGTGGATGCGTGCATGGTCTTTCCGCTGTTCGGCGAGGAGTATTACAGAACTGCCTGCTTGGAAAGGGTGGTTTTCATTGTCTAGCATGTGGCACCTTCTGTTGGAAGAACAGCTCTTGCTGCCTTTGTGGCATACGATCGGGGTTGCCAGATGCCCATGCCTCATTGCTTCCCTTCCCAGGGCTTTAGGGATCTCGATCGGGTCCTTGTATGTCAGGTTTCATCTTCAATATGTTTTCTAATGTTAAGGTTTGCGGAGCCCAGATGCAACTGTATAACCAAGGGTTCCCAGGAAAGGACCTCATTGTTGGATTCCTCTTCCAAAACATGACACGGAATCGTGGAAAAAATGCACCTACAGGAGAACATGTGGAGTTGCAGGTGTGCCTTGCACACACGTTTGGAAGAGTAAGAAGATACATGGGCACACTAACCTGTTGAATTGAATGAACAGCCGGTGACATTGTTTCGCACTGACAGTTGGCTGCAAGTTGCATGCACTTTGTTTGCTAGAGCAATTCTGACAGCTGCAGTCCATGGAATTCAAGACAAGTGCTTGGTGCCCCAGGCTGGCAGCCCCGTTTCTTTGAGCGAGTCTGGTCCACCGGTGGTGGACGCAATGTGCCTTGGCGAGGTGCCCGTGGAATCACGCCCAGGCGAGGCAAAGGAGAAGCCGGCAACGACTTCTGATGTGGATGAGTCAGATGATGACGCCTGGAAACGCTGGCTGGCTTACTTCCACGAGACAGACCAGCTGGAGGAGAGCATGGGAAAAGTGAATGAGGCGTTGGAGGAGGCAGTGGCACGGGAGCAGTACGAGGAGGCAACTGAGCTGAAGGCCAGGCTGGAGGAGATTGAGGGGAGGGACACAGTGAGGATGGTGAACAAGGTGAGAGGGGCTGGGGGGAACTTGGCTTTGCATCCCTTGTGAGGGTTGACTTGAGTCGTTGCTTCCTGAGGTCTTTGATGCATTTGTCAGAATGTGGCAATGCACTGCCTTTGTGATGTGAAACCGATGACAGGCAAACTGTTGCTTTGCTTGTGAAGCAACAAGAAAAATGAAGGCACCAGTCGCACTACAAGATCATTGGTGCCCACAACAGAACATTACGCATGGCAATACACTACTCGTGTCAGCCCCAACACAGCTCCCAAGGTCCTGGCAGGGGGAATGCTGAGGCTGGTATTTGTTTGACTTTATTAACAAAGCTGCAGATGTTTCTCATTCATCGTTTCCTGTTTAGCTATGTTCGTTCATCCCTGCTGCAATTCAATGCATGAGGTGGGCAACTGCTGCCAAGCTAATCATTTTTGCCTGCGAACCAAACCAGAATGGGATTTCTAGCTGTCTCTTGACCTGCCTTGATCCCAGGCGGCTCTGGACAGTTTGGATGATGCCAAATACAGCAATCGTATAGGGATTTGAGGTCTGACAGGACGAGGGATTTTTGTGTGTGGTTTGAATCAAGCAACAAAACAACAGAAACAATAGGCACTATTGCACAACAATGCACATTATTGACAACGTACAGCGATCACACGTGGTGACTGGCTGAACACACTTATCCTTGTCGAAGAAGCCACCAATACCACATCTCTGTGATTGTGCAGCATATGATGGGCCACACGGTGGACCAGACTCTCAGGCAGATTGTCCCTTCTCCCACCAACCGTTGCCCAACAGGTAAACGGGCAGTGCTGTACCATGACTTAGTGTGTGTGTTTTCTTTGACAATCCATGCCCCTTTGACTGTGCCTAATGCCAGATTTCTTTGTTGCATCCCCCTGCCTCCAGGCGCTCAAAGCGGCTGTGGCCGAGGAGCGCTTCTCCGACGCCGCCCGGCTGCGTGACGAGGGACTCGTGGGCCTCCAGGGCTGGTGGGTGGCCCGCACGCCTGACGACCCCACAGGCAAGATCGTCCACATCAAGTCTGAGTTTGGTCGCTACACGGGTCGGGCCTTCACCCCAAGAGACATCGCTGAGGCCAACGGATTCACAGACCGCAGCCTGGGCTCCCCCATGTTTGGGGAAGAGTCACCCTCAACGTCGCTTGAGGAGTCGGGGGCCCTTGTGCTGGAGGTTTTCTTGCGGGAGGAGGCCAACGGGTCGATGGGCCACCGGGCGTGTGCGTTGCGGGGACCGCACCCGGAAGAGAACGCGGACGGGTCGCTGTCATTGGGGGAGGTGGGCGAGAGCGTGGTGGTGGAGAGCGAGAAGGATGAAGGCGGGAACATCGTGAAGATGTCTGTGACATTTGTCAAGGATTCTGACGAGGAAGGGCGGGTGGGTTGCCTCACCCGGTATTTTGCCTGGGTCATTTGGCATCCCAGTCCTTTATGCGACCATCTGAAAACTGTTGTAGAAAGCCATTATGGCAAAGGTACAAACAGCCAAAAAGGATCCTGGGAACCATTGCAGCAAAGAGCCATATAGATGCTATGGAGGTGATGTTTTGTTGTTTGGGGGGATAAATAATGTGCAGGTGGGTTGTTGAAGGGCTTGCGCTGCTTTTCTGTTCTGTGTGCTATTCCTGTTGCACTCAGGCAGTCCTGCCTTATCATTCACTGGCGCATTGTACCTCACCAAGGATGTGTCCGGTACTAATGGACCTGTCACTTGCTTGTGGACACAAACTTTGTGTAGCTCACGAAATATTTGTGATCACACTCCAGAAGAGGCGAAGCTTTTGTGTTTGTTTTGGCACTCTCTGTCAGCAGTGTTTTCATTCATTCAAGGAATGCCCCATAGCACACCCTATTTCTCTGTCAGAAAACCAGTCTATTCATGTCTTTGATGCCATCTGCAGGACTTGCGGACAGATCCCCAGGAGGCGCCAACGTCCCTATTGTTGGAAGAGAATGAGCCATCGCCCATCGTCGCCTCCGAACTAGGTGCGGATCTCTCCGACCTCAACCTGGACTCATTGACCGATGACGAGGCAGAGTACCACGTGAGGGTCCCTGCAGAGCTGCGCTGGCGCGACAGGGACCACTTCGTGGTGCAGGTGGCGGGCGGTGAGAGGAGCACCACGGAGGGGCCGCAGACGGATGAGCTGGTGTTTGGGGACTCGACACTTGGCGGGAACCTAGACAAGGTGCCGTGGACCCTCCAACAGTGATTGACGATCTGGCGATCGTGGCAAGGCCGCTGCTGCATTGTTCCCGCGGTTGTGGCACAGTGCCTGCATCAAATTTCAAGAGTTCAGAAGGGTTGCGAGGTCGTTGTGGTCCGCTTGGAAACTGGCACTGTTTGACAGTCTGAGTTGTGCAGAGTTTTGCGCCCCGACGAGTGTGTCGATTTTCGCATTTACTGGCAGAAAAGTGCTCACTCAGGCTGTGAACAGGGCTGCGCTGCGCGATTTTTGTTCACAAAAAGGATGATGCCCATCCCAAACTCCTGGACCCAACTGTGCATTTTACACTTTGTCAAGCTTTGATTCAGGTAGATGTTTTGGCAATCACATTGCCATTGGCTCTGCCTCTCTGCTTGACGATTTGTTTAAGTGTTATCCTACTGTTTGTGCGTGACATCAAAACTGCTGTGCAGCTAAGCCACACCATTTTCTGCAAAATCAGACCCTGTGCACCACGTTTGTGCAGGGGATAGAGCTGCAGATTGCCGGTGCAAGGCCAACATCCCTTGGAGACATAATCAGCTCACAAGCAAGCTCATCGACTGATGTCCTGGAGGAGCTGATGGCAGTGCTGAAAAAAATGCATGTGAGAAGGCGTTGCACTTGTATGTCGTTAGTTGTCTGTTGTAGGTTGATTTGGGCAGCTTCTTTGAATGGCATCATGGCTACAGTCACAGCCAAACCTTTGGAAGTGCAAGCAGGCACTTAAATAAAATGAACCCAAAATTTTGGGCAACAGCATAGCACTGGTTAAAGTGCTACAAGCAAAAAGGAGTTCTTGCTTTTTTGTACTTTGGCGATTGTATGCAGCAGTTGGCAATGCCCCAACGATGGCATCCCCAATGGCCGTGGGCAGTCTCATATAGCGTCCCCCAAAAGGAAAGGGGCGACCATACCGGAGTGGTGACACATATGTTGCACCGCCCTCTTTTCTTTATATGTGTGGCAGCAATGCAAACAGGCACCATGCTTTAAGTGGTAAAAGAGGGGCAGTGGAGAAGGAGCTGGCATGCAGGATGCGTATTAGGTGCCTGGATTCACTTTGCAGGTTTTGTGCTTGGGGTGCATGTGCACGGATTGCGTGCACACATTGCATGCACACCAAAGCGGATGTCGCTGTGTTGCAAAGCTAACTGACGTGTAGTTTGTTGGGAGGATCTATTTGTGTGCTGTCTAATGCATCTGGCTGCGGTTTCCCTTCAGCTAGCCAAGACAGGGAAGAACCTGGCTGTGGACTTGGGCCAGATCGTGAGTGCCCTCGGCAACTTGATCGGCACGAATGACTTCGATGTGCATGCAGTGGCCAAGGTGGCCCAGCTGTTGCTGACGAACATGGGCCAGGAACTGAGCTTCGAGGGCGAAGTAACGTGAGTAATGTGCAGGCCATGTGAATGGCCAAAGATTGTTTTTGAAAGAACAATACTTGTCATGCATTGTGCACCACCCACCGGGCAAGGGTTTTGTGAGACACATTTCCACTCTGGAGGAGATGATGCATAAGCCCGTGAGTGCAGCAAGCGCACCATGCAGCACATGGTATTTTCAGTTGTATCCAGACACCTGTGTGCGACTTGCACATGTCATTGAGGTGCTGACTTTGGATGAAACAATTTTGCCTCAGACGAGGAATATGCCCTTCTTTGCCCAGTCGAAGGCAGGGAATTGTGCTGTAGGAAGACATGTTCAGTGGGTTAGTTGTGTCTTGCACGTTGGCCTCAAATATTGGGAGCAGATTGTCCTGCCTGCAACGTAATGCCGAGTGCTGGATGCCAGTGTCCCATACTCCAGGGTGAAGGATGGGATCACCATAAACTACCATGAGTGCATTGTGGGAAATGGCACCATGCAGAAGTTTAACATGGTGTGCGTTGGTGATCTTTCTTGGTGGTTTTGATGATTTCAATGATTCGCTTGGAAGCTAGGCTAGAGATGTAGGGGCACTTGGTGCCAGTGCTGCACTCGATGTCCACGGACAATACAGTAACACAATGCCCGCCTGCTTAATGCATACGATTGAACTGTAAATTTGCCCCACAGACAATTGTGCTACCTTTTGTTCGACAATGCAGCATATGGCACTGCAACACATACACTGGCACAGACATGTACTTCTGAAGTATTTTGCATAGTTAATGGTGTAGTCTACTTTCGTTTGTTCGGCTCAGTAGTAGGACTTCCACAGTGAGAGCACAGCTCCCTGTTGCAAGCACTTGGGAAGACTGTGGCATGACAATGCGACAATGCAACATATGGACATACAATAGGAATTGGACGTCACATCTGTGCGTGATTATATTATTAGTCCATTGCCTGTTTTGCATTAGTAGGGCAGAGTATTCCTTCTGTTCTGTATATTAACGCGTATGTAAACGTCCGCTGTGAGATTGCGCTTTGGTGCTGTCGCTCAGGTTCTCCCGGATACCCACTGACCACGCGAAGACAGACCCATTCTGTGGCCTGTATCTGGGGGCTTTTGGACCCCATGGCCCTGAGCTGCTGCTGCTCCGGCGGTCACTGTGGGACGATGGCGAAGAGTGCATTCAGGGCATCAAGCTGACAGGGGACGTCAATGTGCCTGCGGGAGAGGTGTCCTTCAGGTATGCCAAGTGCCCATCCTCCAGTGAGATATGTGAGAACGTGAGGGAGCACTGATGGTGCAATTTGACTGACAAATGGAATGTCGATGTTTGGTTGATTTCCATAAGATTGTTTGTGCTGATGCATTGATTTCCATAGAGTTTGTTGATTGGTTGATTTCGTGGATTTTCATATCTTATTCGTGGATTTTGTTAGAATTTCGCTGATTCGTTGTTTGGGAGCCCGTGAGCCGGTGATGTGCACAGCTCAACAAGTTACGTATCCACGCCTGGGCTAGAGGGATGCCTTGCTAAAATGGCTCGTGGACCACATTTTTCATCCTCTGAATCAGTGCACTCCCAAATTGAATAACCTGAGTTGAGTTGATCGGATTGGCACTCGCGTTCAAGCAGCAATATTGCTGACCGAGGCACCCAACTTGGCTGCCAAGTCTTTGGGTTCCCTTCTTCATTCAGTGCGATGGCCCAGTTGATTGCCCCTGACTGGCCTGGCCATTGCTTTGTGCCCCTCTCAGGGTGAAAGTGGGCCGCAAGCACCGCCTGGAGTCCCGGGGCGTGTACCCTGAGGACCTGGGCATCGTCGCCCGGTACCAGGGCCAGGGCCGTGTCGCGGAGCAAGGCTTCAGGGAACCCCACTGGGTGGAGGGGGAGCTGCTGCAGTTCTCATCAGGAGGGGCACCAGGCCACAGGCTCACAGGCGGGGCGCAGCTGGGCTTCGTGTGGGCTGTGCCTGGCACGCGGCGGTTCCTCATACTACTGAATCGGATGACCCTGCCCGAGTCCTGAGTGGGCATTTCCTTGCATGGATCATGGAGAGCCCTGATTGGCACCCCCCAGGTGGCCCCCAGGGTGGGTCCTAGGAGGGGAGTGCCCTAGCTACGATCCTGGACAGGTTTCAGCGGTGCGGAGGCACTGGACGGCGTTCCTGAACAACTGACAGTTCCAGAGTCCCCAAGGAGAATTGTCTCCTGAATGGGGTCTTGAATGGATCTAGTACTGGACAGGTGGCTGGCGCTGGGCGTGCCAGATGCTTCCTGACCCCACTGAACCGGAGGGGCCTGCCAGGGTCTCTCCTAAGAAGCCTAGCGGGTCCTATTGGGGAGCCCGAATGGGTCGCAACTGCGATGTTGGACAGAGTCTGGGAGGTGACTGGTGTGGGGCAGGTTGACTGTTGGGGAGGTTGACTGCGGGTGTGCGCCCTGGCGTGTTGAACTGGGCGGGCCCAGAACTGACCAGTCACTTGTGTCGGCAAGGTTTGTGCGGAACCTGAAGATGTGAAGATTGGGGAAGGCTGGTTTTTGGGGCGGTTTCTTCTGCAGCGTTTTTGGGGCATGTGGGGAGTTGCTGGGGTTTGGCATAGCTTCAGGCGGGGTGGAAGGGAGGATTTTCTGGTTTCTGGAAAGTGAAAAAGGTTTGAAGCAGGTGTGACTTTCTGGTTTGAAAACGAGGCGGGCGGATCGGCCAAGGCCGTGACGCGTCGTGCGGCCACTTGGGGGCGCTTTTTCTTGACGGGATTCGAATTTTGGTGGCGGCCCGGGGGCGGAGGGGCGCCTGGGTGCACAGCCTGGTCGAAGGGCCGGCAATCACGTTGGGGCTGCGGTGAGGTGTGAAGTGGGAGAATGCAGATACGCCGAGGCGAGCCATTTGGCGGATGAAGGCAACTGCACGAGTGCAGTGCCGAGGCAGGGTTGAGTCGAATCCAAACGCATGGCAATCGGCCGTAGAGTAATCCTCCACCTTTGTCGCCAGCTCATGTGCCGAGAGAAACTCTTGGGCATGCGGTCAGTGCTGCAGCCCTTTCGCTGTGGTTTGATAGGTGTTCCAAGCCGGACGACCTAAATGGCCCTTTCAGGGTGTGAGCGTGGCAGGCGCTTGCCAGCTCCACTGATCCCCACAGCCTGTGTCTGGAAGATCCAGCATTCTCCCAAAAGCCATTAAATACTGATCACTGCAGGCAAATGGCCACTATGGAATGGGCCAGACCTGGGCTCATTCCCGTCCCAATGAAGGGACCGTACTTTTCCGTTCCTGTTGTTGATCGGCTCCCGTCGGGCCCAACTCTCGACTGAGCACACAAAATTGCTTGTCAGCTGGCCCTCACCCCCTTTGTTTCTAACCTGGCTCCCTTTCTCCACCCTTCTGGCGTTGAAGTCCTGCTCATCATAACCACAATCAGAGTGCTTTCTTTTCCCATGCTTTCTTGTACTTCACGCAATGGTGGCTCAGCTAGGCCACACCCTGTGAAAAGGTTGTCATTTTAGGCCGGGCAGGCGGGGTTTCAGCCTTGAATTGCAAACAGTAGGAGCAGACCATGCTATGGTCACCATAGCCGAAGTCAGCAGCCTTCAAGCTTGAAACCGGGCGTTGCATTCTCTACTTACGCGACGTGGGCTCCACCTGGCGTACTCCACCGAGCACTTGGCAGTACAATCCCCCAGCGCATCCCACCACGCCAGCACGGCGCCGCACAGCGCGGCCTTGACCATGGAACGGTTGTACAAGCAAGTGCCGAAAGCACTGAAACCTTGTACCACTTTTCCCAAAAAGATGTCTTGGATCATGGATCATCCATGGGTGATCCACCGGTCGTCCCAAAGCCAGCAAGGGACAGGAGCATATTCCAAACACCTTCTAAAATGCCGACGCGGCGTCGCTCAGCGGGCGCAGCCGCCCGACACCCCCAACACGTCACGCCACGACAAGTCGAATCGCGCTATGACTAATGCAATCATCCCCGCCAGCCGTGGCCCATTTTTAGGCGTCGCGGCGCACGGCGCATTTTTGGCCCGTTCCGAGGATTCCGGTGATGGGTTCGTGCTGCTCAGGGGCGCCATCAGGTTCGGCTTAGGTACCGATCAGGGCGCCTGGGAGGTGGTCGCGGGCGTCTCGGCTGTTTGGAGGGCTTTTCAAACCGGGCGGGTAGCTAAGGGGTCAGCGGCGACGGGTTGACCGAGTGTTAAACGCGCTGAACCCTGGCACGGGCGAGCTTCGTCTGCGGCAGAGGTGCGTACATCGCTGCGGGCCAGTGGGCTGGGATGGGTGAACACGGGGGGGTGCGATCTGTATTGCCGACTCGGCGAGGGAGGGGGCGGGAGGGGACATTTGGCAGTCTTGATTTGATGTGGGATCCACGGGAATCGGCCAAAGGGAGAGGGCGGGTGTTGCGGTTGCAGGGTTTGGGTTGTTGGGCAACGTGGACTGCTCGCGATGCGCGCAATCGGCAGATTTTCTGGTTGCGGTACCTGCCAGAGCATGCCGGGGCGGGTGCCAGGGGCGGGAGGGCGGCGGGTGCGCGGCTTGAGCGGGAGCGGCGTCGCATCTGTGGCTTGGAGCGGAAAGAGCCAAGCTCAAGGGCGGGTATCACGGGGTTCTGCGTGTGGGACATCGGACGTCGAGTACGGGAGCCGGGGGAATGCCCGCGGCGCAAAGGGGCGGGGAGGGGAGGGTCTGGGAGACAGGCGCTTTGGCCGGCGGTCTGGGCGGCAATCGGGCCGGCCCGTCGGGTGGGCAACCTGCCCTCGCAGGTTGGCGGGGTGGATTTGATTCGAGGTCTGCCGATTGTTTGAAGTTCGTTCGCAGATGTCGTTGGCCCTGTAGATTGATCTCCGTCGCTTGGTCGCACCCTGCGGAGGCTGGTGCTAGTGCCCATCGCGATAGTGGGACCGCCTGTGGCCCGTCGGGGAAGGGGCGATTGGATTTACTTTTGGGGGGTGGGCAATGCGCGCAGGGGGAGGCCCTTGGCAAGCGCGCTGGCTGTTTGACTTCGCTGGCCGTTTGGCGGGAAGGGTGTGATTTGGCGCCGCGCGGGCGCTTTGGGATCCGCGCGGATCTCTGGGCGCACGCATGAGGGACGCACCTGTGCCTCTGGAGACGACCGGGGGAGAAATCGACAAGGAGGTTGTGAAAGGGGGGTGGGGGTGGGTTGGGGGGGGCTTTGGAATGTTTGGGCATAGCTGCGCGCTGTGCGCAGATTAAGCGGGGTCCAGAGGCGCGGGTCGGTTGTCTTGTGCTTGAGGCGGTGGCGCTCGCGGCTTTGTGGTCGGCTGTCAATGGGTGTTCTGGGCGCCGCCGGCGCCGTTTGAGCTGCCGGCCGAAATCCACATTTTGTGGGCTGTGGGAGTTTCCTTGCTTTTCTCTCCTCGGTGAGTCCTCGGCGTTTTCTTCCATTCGCGCATTGCCACCCCGCGCCCTGACAACAGATGCTGCGGAAAAGAGCGTCTTGCCGTATGGGCGGCGATGCTGGCATGGTTTTCATTGCTTCGGAACTTGGGATTGAGCAAGCCCCCCTGGTGAAGGATGGTTGTTCGAGCCATCGTCTGCACACATGCCATGCCTCGCTTGTGCAGTTCGACTGGCTAGCTCCTGGACTGGGCTATTCTCTCCTATCCTGCATACTCAAACAGTTGGTGCTTAAAGGGCAGGGTGCTTTCCATGTTTTCCCTGCCAGCGAGCTGACCACTACCTATTCTAAATTCCAGAGTGCTAGCGATCGACAAGGCACCAAATAGGAAAATCTTGTTGCCTCCACAGGTTCCTGCCACACTATTACTGGCCCAGCCAGAGTATGCGTATGAGCTGCCTCTAGTTCGGCGTATAGCTGCAGCTGGCTGCATCGAAAAAGTTTGCATATCTGTGCGCATATTTTGGATATCGCGTGGATGCTGCAAGTCCAGGAAGCGGAAAACTTTGAGTCCCACAGCCTGGACCTGCATGTCCCCAACCATATCCTTCTCAACATCCAGGATGTGGGCAAGGATGTGGCACTTTCGCCAAGACAAGGGTATATGTCATTACCAAACTTAACCACTTGCTTGAATACGTTGCCCACTGTTCTGTATGTGTTCCCAGCCTTTCAGCACTCCTGCCAAGCAAGCAAATATCATAGGTTGCCAGCACTATCTTTTCCACCATCCCACACGTTTGCAGACGTTCGCACCAAAACTTGGCAAAACATTCTCCTGTGTCTCAGTCAACCTCCGATTCAGCACCCTCGGACTCCAAAGCACCCCTGGTTAGTGCTTTGCCAACATCAGCAAGGGAGAATTTCAGCAATGAGCAATAGCGCTTCAATAGACTTCATCAGTAAACAATTAGTGCTTCTATTTCTGAAGCAATATGATAAACATCTGCATCGTCTTCAGCATCCTGCCATTTTTCCTTGCAAGTTTTGAAAAGAATGACGAGATGGGCAGAATTCCCACTGTTGTAGGCAATATTGTTGCAGTTATATTCGATTCTGGAAACTGGCACTTCTGTTTCCGGAGCAACGTGATAATCGATTGCATCAATTTAACATATTGCCATGTTTGCCTTGCAGGTTGTTAAGAAAAGGACAATATGGAGGTCGCGTCCCCCCGACAGGACTCATTTCATTCCCAGAAGGGCCTGCTGTCCCCCCGGCCCACGAGTGCGCCCCTGGGCACCGACGACAAAAAGGGCAGCCAGCCGCGGGGGCTGCACGACTGGAGGAAGAGCATCAAGAGGTCTGTCAAGAACCTGGGCGCACAGCCAAAGCAGGTCGTGATCGAGGTGGGCCGGACGGTCACCAACAAGGCACGCAACCTGTCCGGCAAGCTGGTCAAGATCGTGAAGAAAGCAGTGAAGAAGGAACGCAAGGCGAATCCCAATGCGCCGCCGAAGCCAGACATTCACTTCGATTCCGACTGAAGACATGCAGCTGAGACTTGCATTGAGTGAACTCTTGAATTGCAGTTGTGCTGAGGGTGATGTAGCTAAGCGTCAGCAGCTGTGCTGAAGCAGGTTTGACAGAGCGTGTTTCTGGGGCGGTTTTTGAGGTCCCTTGGACGAGCAGGAAGCGCTTGGGGTGCAGTCCAGAAAAGAGATGTCCTGTTCAAATGCATAATGCCAACGACTCTGTGGTAGTCGTAAGGAATGTGGAGCTAGAATGATGCGGTAGACAGTGCGATGGGAGACTCTGGCTCGCAAGTGGCCGATTTCCCCGTGTAAGTATCGCTGTACTTTCGGTTTTGGTGGGAGGGGGCTGAAGTTCGGTCTTGGGAGTTAGAAGTGCGTGACTGGTGAGCGCCAGAAGTTGGCTACGAATTGATTAGACGCGTCGTCGAAATTTGTCCGAGACTTGGTTCCGGCTGCCGGCTGCCCTCGGCGCAGTGTGCCACAGCCATTTGGAGAGCAGTGTTGGGTCCTGTCTGAGATTGGCCGAGTGGTGAGTGGGGGCCAATAATACGGGGCCCGCTCCTGGGCTGGTGGCACGATCTTGTGGTTGACGGGGTGTAAATGAATCGATGGCTGCGTGGCACGGTGCGTGCATGGCAGCCAATTGAACTTGCGTTATGATGACGTTGCTGAGTGGCATGCAAGCGTGTCTCAATTCTGTGCATTACGTTGGTCCAAACCAAAACCCTGCACAGTGCGGGAGGCCTCAGGCGTAGCAGCATCCGGCCAGTGTTCGTTCATTGTCCGTGAGCATATTTCCGGACACTGCAGCTGAGCACAAAGTGGAAACATGGCCAACAGGTCTCCAGACGCCCATCCGCTGAAGACTGGGTTACACGGGACCGTAGTTTGAAACTCGCTTTGCTCATTTATTGGTTCCACTGCAATAACCCATTGTTGACGACCCGAAACAACCCTTAATGCTGAACGATTTATAATCGGAAAACAGACTGCCGAGGACGATTGAGTTTGTCCGCAGGAAGTACATATTAGGACCCCAGCAACACATCTCAGATTCTGATCCCTCGAAAATAGCACCAACATGACGACCTGGGAACACAAGATCGTTCTTGCCCTTTCCAGGGTGCCATTCACTGAGGTGTACAGCCAAAAATTGGGGCAATATTGATGCAAAATCTATCGCCACAGCAGCGACGAGTTTGTGGATGCACTGCTTAGCATCGCTGTGTCAAGATTCGCACAACAGCACCCCACTGGAAGTTACGGTTGATGCCATTGGTGCTGGCGAGTCATGAAATCCTGACGATCCATTCCAACTAGGGATATCCGAGCCAGGATCATTATTGCTCGCATGCCATTTGTGCATGGGGACTGCAGTGCTTCGTGGCAATGTATCGACGCAACAATGGCAGCAGCGGTGACCAATGCTGCATCAACACCTCATTTCTGGCTGCAGAATCCTCTGATGTCCAGCAGCTGTTGAGCTGCACGTCCTGTAACCCCTCCTCAGTTGACTTACCCACATTCGCCAGAAGATAATCAAAATCTCCAAGGAAGTTGGCGATACATCAAGCAATTTCCAGCGTATTTCTGAACAAAATTCACTCCCATTTTCGCCTCCTTGTTCGACACTCAAACAACTGCGAGGCCAAACGACTTGGCCAGCCTGACCACTTTATTTCGTGTTGTGCTGCCACAGTCGGCATACTTCCGCCATTTCTCGTGCAGCCAACCACGATGCTGTCATCGTTCTTGATCTCCTCACCCACAGCCCAGCCACACAGCGCCAAGGGCCGGGCGAGGAGCGCCAGCTTGCCAGCATGGCAATGCCCACCAAACTGTTTAAATGCAAACTCGTTGCCTGGAGTGACTTCATGGTCAGCTCGGCCAGCCCGCGCAACAGGCCAGCTGATCGCCTACCTCCGATATGCAATCCCCAGCAGTTCGCCTGCGGGTAGGTGACAGAAGAACCCGTGCTTGCTGTGATTAAAAGTCGCCAGAGCTCGCCACAACTGAAGGTCAAAGTCAGAACAGTCAAACACTGTTTTGCCAAGGTGTGCAATTCGTCAGTTTCTAGTCCATTTCTTTCTTCTTGTCAATGGTGGCGTGGCACAAGTCATTCATTACATATGGTGGCTGGCTGTGCTGCCCCTCTTCTGCTCATCGACAGTGTTGTTCAGGTGCTGTCGGGGGGGACTAGTGCACTTCGTTCGCGCATCAACTGGTGCCTCCCTGGCTGCACATGTCACCAGTAACAAACGATGTATTAGCGATGCCAACTACGATGCTACTTGATAGTAATTGATGCCATGACAGCCACTCTCATGCTGTCAAAATGACTGTAATTCTGCCACTTCGTGTCAATTTGGCATCGCAGTTGGCATCGCAAAAGTAATGTTCTCTGTTGGTGTGTGCAGCCAAGTTTTTGTACAACAGACTTGCAGGGGGGGCAATGCAGTGCCACACGAACAACTCTGTTGGGAGACACGCAGGAGCGCACACAGATGCGCATCTTTACAGGAAATTTTGTGAACATTGGTTCCTCTCCAAGTCCCGTGTGATCGCCTTATGGAACACCACTGACTGCCATATTCGCCTGAGGGTGCGCTGAACGGGACCAGCTTGGCTTGAGCGGCCATTCCAGGACAACACACAAAGCTGTCAGGAAACAAAGACGCAAAAACAGCAACATCCTTCCTTCCCATCTTTCCACGATCTTGGGCGCTGGCGGCTGCGGCGGAAAATCGATGGTGGCCCTCCTCCATCACCCATCCCCAGCAGGCGCGACGCGGTCAACCCTGCCCTGTTGCAACACCCGTCTGCAATGTGCAAGGGCCCTGCCAGCAAAGTGCATATACTTCGAAGACAAAGCGCACTGGCTTGCGAAGGCAAATTCAAGCAGACGAATTCGTCGGCACCCGGTCGCCACGCCATGTGGGGCTCTACAGGGCTCTTCCGGCGACTCCGAGGTTTCGGAGATTGACTGGGTCCCCACACAGGGATGCATCGGGCCGCGATGGCCTCGATTGGCTTCAGCAACAGTTGAAGAGGCACGTAGATGTCTCCGGCAGGCCCCCGCGCCTTAGCCGCTCTCTAACTAGGGGCGGTTTCTTAACCGCCCTTCCGTGCAGATGGCTGCCAGCCTGCCGCGCAAGGCCAGCACCTACGCTGTGCCATCCTCCCCGCAACCCCCCAACACACAAAAACCCCAACCCACCCATCCTTGTTTCTTTGCATGGGTCTGTTCGATAGGGGTTGGCCCGCTCACCCGGACGTGCCCTCCCGCAGTGACAAGGGCGCTGCACGGCGCACGGCGCTCCCCCAGCGTGCAGGACCGCCCCGAAGGTCCTTCCTGCCTTGTCCACATCACCAACGGCCACGCAGCAACCCTTCCCCGTAGATAGGCCTGCAGCTGGTGTGCTGTACATATGCACTCCCTGAATTGGAGAATTCCTGCTATACTGGTTGTGTGTATTGCCAACACCCAATCATCAGTGGCGCCCTACGCCGCCCGAGAGGCGTCCTGTTTCGGCCCTGGGCCCCCCCTTCCCGAACCAGCCATGGGGCTGCGGCAGAGGGTCTACGAGCTCTGTGGCAGCCACGCCTGCACCAATGCCAGCGACTTCACGATGGGCGTCGGCGACGTGTGGGCGGGCGGCCACAACAGGAGCAAGGTGATGGGGCTGAACGAGCTCAAGGACGGCCTGGTGGAGGCTGGCGTGCCCCGGGCCGAAGTGGATGACGCCTTTGATGTGGAGGCATCGGATTACAAGGGAATGGAATTGCACTTCGTGGGAAAGAAGGTGTCGAGGCCGAGCAAGGTGGTGTCGGTCGCCGGAGAGTGGCCGACGGTCCAGATCGACTTCGGCCCCGAGAAGAAGGAGAACTACATCTACAGCGCGGCGCCCGCCGGGGTGCGCAGGTTCAAGGTGCTGCCCAAGGCGGAGCAGATGTTCCAGTTTGCTTTGGTGAAGTGCAAGAGGGGCCGGCGGGACACGCTGCTGCGGCGGGAGTGGTTCCTGGTGGAGGAGGTGGTCATGTCATCGCGGCTGGTGTACCTGAGGATGCGCAGCGAGGGGCGGCTGATCGTCAGGGTGGCGCCCGGCGCCCAGCGCCCCCCGGAGAACCTGCTGGAGCAGGTGATGGACCTGAGGCTGTCGCACGTGGACGCGACTCTGGAGTTTTCCGGGGTGGCTGGGCAGGCGGTCGACCTGGCGAAGGTGGTGTGCGAGCGCGAGTGTGCGTGCCTGGTGAAGGTGAAGAACAACCGGCCGCTGCGGTCCAGCAGGAACATCAACCAGCCGGGGCTGCTGCCGACGGGGCACAAGACGGACATGGCTAGCCAAGCGCAGGCGGAAAAGATCGAGGAGGGGCACCTGCTGGACGAGGCGGAGAACCTGGTGTGGGGGGCGGAAGGAGCGGAGCGGAAGATAGACGAGCTGGTGGGGGTTCTGGACGAAGCGGGGCAGGGCTGCGAGCTGTTCGTCGACGAGGACGGGGAGGAAGACGACGACGACGACGATGACGACGACGACGACGACGACGACGACGACGGCGACGATTAAACGAGAGGGAGGGGGTGAGGTGCGACGACCAAGCGGAGGGGTTCACGCGTGGAAGGCGAAATGGTGGTTCGAGTGCCGGCCGTTCTTCCGGCGGCGCAATGGAGAAACGGCGCTCGTTGGCCTGGCTGATGTGGGGCTTGGCCGCCGGCGCCGGCATCGCTGCCTCTTGTGCATTTTTTGGGTGCCGGAGCCCTCAGGCGGATGGCTCCGACTGACGGGGATGAACGTGTCCTGCTGTAAACGCCGCTGGGAAATGTTTTGTTTCGTACCAGGCTGCTGTTTGTGCGAGCGTTGCTGCGGTTGTTGGCACAAGGATAACGGGCCCGTTATCCTCCAACACGAAATTTTCCATCTGTTTGGAGTCACGTCATTGCTGTGGAGAGGATGTTACTTGGTGGATTAGTGAATGTTGTAGTCCTGTGATTCCAAGCTATTTAGTGCTTGTATGCCGTGCTCTTTCTGTAACTTGTTGCCGTTGTCGAAAGAATCCTGACTGAATTTCTGGGTTCACTCTGCTGACAAGAGCCAGTGAGCTGCGCAATAAGGACACGGCCAACTCTGCGGCTTTCATTCAACGTTGGCTTATCGAAGACGATAATATCGATGTGCCCAGAGACGGCTGCGCAGGTGGGGCCTAGGGTGCGGGTGCCCCCCGCCAATGTTTGGGACAAAACAGGGGTCGAACGAAGGCCTGACTTCCGGAACGGCACCACAAAAGACAGCCCCTCGTCCAACAGAGCAATACTGCAACATCATCTTGACCACCACCGTGCGTGCTGATGTTGTAACCAGAACTGAATGAGTAATTATTGTTAGCTGGATGCGTTGATGTGATGAGACAATGGGAAGTGAATTAAGGACACTGGTGAACGGACAGGAGATAAGGGACAGAATTCCTGCCGTCCTGCTCCGCTGTGAAGCGTTGCCGCGTACCCGTGCCTACGGTCCCCAGTCAGGGGTCGCCACCCCTCGACCCTGCCTGCTTTCATCGCCGCACCCCAAAATTTGCCGCTTCCTTCCCATGAAGGCAAGAACACTCTCGATACTGCATGGGCACACCTCACAGATGTCCAAGGTGCCTCTACATGCCTGCTGCCTCCTGCCGCCTTCCCCAGCCTAACGAGCTTGCAGGCACACGACTGGCGCTCGCTCCCGCTCCGCGCCGTGCCCCCGCCCTCCGCAGCCCGCCATGGGCCTGACGGAGAAAGTGTGGGAGGCGTACCGCAGCCACGCCTGCACCAACGCCTCCGACCTGACGATGGAGATCGGCGACGTGTGGGCGGGCGGGCACAACAGGATGCGCGTGATGGGCCTGACCGAGCTCAAGGAGGAGCTGGTGAGGGTGGGCATTCCCCGGGACAGGGTTGAGGAGGCCTTCATGGTGGAGGTCACGCCGTACACGGACGTGGCGCTGGACTTCGCCGGCCAGATGGTCGCGCAGCCGACCGTGGTGGAGAGCGTGGTCGGCGAGGGGCCCGCCGTCCAGATCAGCTTCGGCAGCTGCAGGAAGGAGAACTACATCTTCAGCGCGGTGCCCGCCGAGCTGCACCGGTTCAGGGTGCTGTCCAAGGCGGAGCGGATGTTCAAGTTCGCGGTGGCCAAGTGCAAGCGGAGGCGCAACGATCGTTTGTTCCGCCGGGAGTGGTTCCTTGTCGAGGAGGTGGTGATGTCCTCCTCGCTAGTGTTCGTGAGGGTGAGGGGTGCCGGCCGACTGCTCGTCAGCGGCCAAGTCGATGGAGGCAGGAATCCAGGTGTGGATGTGTTGAGGGAGATGCTCGGCCTGCGGCTGTCGAGGGTGGGAGCCGCGCTGCGGTTCGGCGGTGACAGCGTGGACCTGCACAAGCTGGTGAACGGCAGCCGGGGGGCGTGCCTTGTCAAGGTGAAGAACAACCGGCCCCTGGTCTCCAGTAGGAACATCAATCAGCCAGGCCTGCTGCGGACGGGGCGGACGGACATGGCCAGCGGGTCGCAGGCGGAGAAGATCGCTGAGGGGCACCTGCAGGACGAGGCGGAGCGTTTGGAGTGGGGGGCGGAGGGCGCGGAGGAGAAGGTCGACGAGCTGGTGGGAGAGCTGGAGGAGATGGGGGAGACGTGCGAGCTGTTCCTCGACGAGGGCGGCGATGAGGAGGAGGAGGAGGAGGAGGAGGAGGACGACGACGACGACTGACGGGGAGATCGGGAATCCAGGAATGGGAATGGGGGGGATAATTGGCGTGGGGAGGAAAAATGGCGCTGCCGTCGATCGCGGGGTGCTGCTCTCGAGGCGTGTGAGTGCTGTGTGGCGGTTGGCTGCGGTGGAGGGCGGATGGATCGCCCGGCAGGCGGCTGGGGACCGATTCCGATGTGGCTGGCTGGTGCGCGGGTCGCCTGGTGAAGTAGGGCAGCGGAGAGATATTGGCAGGGAAGGTGTTCGAAGTGCTCTGGGGCCAGAGTTTCCTTGCCTCCCCAGGTGAAGAGTTGACCATAGTTTGACCACAGTCGCGCAGCCACCAGCCGAGGTGGCTGCCGCCATTTGCTGGCCTCCGCATGGCTCGCCACGTGAGACTTGGACACCGTTTTGGTTGGGGTCATTGGTGGGACGCCAATGAAAGGGGCGATCGGTTTGTTTCCGACCTGGTTGCCAGCGTGGGCTCGATCCTGAAAGCGAGGGACATTGGCTCCCACAGGTGTGCAGGTAGCTCATGATCTGCAGAGGTTCAGACAACTCACATGCGTTTGTGGAGCCTCACAGTGCACAGCTTTGTCGCATGTAAAACCATTCATTCATCCTGCAAACGTCATGTTTCCAATTTCTCAATTCTGTTCAACAATTCTGCTGGAACAATTCTGTCTGAACAACTTTGAGGAGAAAGGGCCACGATGTCCTGCATTTACCCATCACTGGGTGCATTTTTTAACCAAAACCAAATCAACAGCCGCAAATATCCGTTCTGCATTGCCCACCGTCCACCGGAAGAAGGCGCCACCAGTGTTGCATTTCTGTTGCTTTTCGCTGTTTTTGTGTTCTTTTGGGCGGGGCGGGCCAGAGCAGTTAGAGACTTTGGAAAGCAGTATTACTCATGCCGGTGTTCAGAACGCTGCAAAGTGGGCGTTGTTCGCACTGTTGCAATGCCATGTGAGCGTCGTGCTTTGTTCTCGAAGGGATCTACTCGAGAGTTTTGTGTAATGATCTGTTTCGATACCAAAACCTTGTTGGCAATGAGGAAGCGGAACAGAATCTGACAAAGAATCCGTTGTTGAATTCATTGAGCACAGGGTGCAACGCCCGCAGGGGTTCGTACGATACATGCTGAAAGAGAGGCACGTTTGTAAAGACATGGCCAACAGTGATGAGGTCGATTGCGTGTCAAAAGCCGGAGTGGAATGGCACCTATACATATGCATTGGACATATTCAAGGACGTTACGACCTGAAAACGGATGTGCAACCGCCAAGGGTAGCACACGATTCTCACGCAAGAAAGAGGTAGAGGCAGGGTACAGCTTTGTGACAATTTTGGCAGTTTGGAAGCAACCAAAGAACGACGCTCAACAACTGTCCATGCCACAGACCTGCCTGCTCTGCGGCGGTTGGAACCCAGTCAATCGGCCAGTGTCACTCATGTGTCTCACATGGAGCGCAGGAACAAGCAGCCCAACAAATGATTTGAACAGTTCACGAACTGATTCACAGCGCAAGACCTCGCAGAAGCCTTAAAAATGTCTTCCTTTCGATTCAACATGCGTACCCACATTCTAACAATCCATGAGTTTAAATGTGAGCCATCTAATGCACTTACGATGACACCCTGAAGAAGGCAAACAAAGACGCTGGCACCATCCTCCGCTGGCTCTCCATAACGCCCCACGGCAAATCCACTTGGGAAAATATCGCATCAGCACAAATCCCCGAATACAAAGTCGAAATAAAAGACGTTCTATTCACTCCATGGGACGCAGAAAACTGCACAGCAATGCCCAACAACGATGTTGGATATCCTTGGGTAATGACATAATGCACAACATTGGGAGAAGGCCACTTGGTATCCGTTCCCGATGCAAACGTTTTCTCCCCTTTCACCATCCCTTCAAGCGATGTCACCGAATATGTAAATTAATTTTGTGAGCCCTCTCTATGCATTGATACAAACAACCAACACCACTTCCTGCAATCGAGCAGTGAGGAAACCGCTACGCCAGCGATATGCGCACATGGCCCTGCCCATCGCTCAGCGCCTGTTTGTAGCTGACACAGGCTCCGAATAGATGAGGTTGTCCATGACGACCACATTCCCTTAAACAGGCAGATCCTTGAGGCCCAACTTGGTGTTACCCAGCGTCACCTTGAGCTGCCAAATGACACCCCATTTGTCTCCGTTGGCACCCGCATCACACTGAATTATTTCCATCAGAAGGCAAGTTGTGGGAAATGGTGGCAAAGTAACGGTTGAATTACTCAATTGGGGACCATGCCATTGCTTCAATGTGTTGAAGCATGCTTCAACGGGGTGCCTACAATGTTCAACATATGAACCAACTGCTCGATAGGGGGGCGCCTCCTTTCCACGTTCTCCGCCACTGCCAGTGGCCCACTGTGTTTCTCATTCCGAATGACCCTTGAATGCGACGCAGATGCCATCTGAGCTCTCTCGATGTCATTACCACGCATCTGCCAAGGTTCGGATTCTGCTCATGCTACGCTCTCTGCTGTTTTTTGCTCCTGTTGCATTTGAACAATTTTCCCATCAATGACAAGGCGCTGACGGACGGTCTTTCCCTCGTAACTTTTAGCTCAGTATTATCCTCTATACCACCTGCGCTTTGCTGCCAAGGTCGATCACACAAATCCCTGGCTGTTTGGCAATGCTGCTTGCACACCTCAGCCAGCGTGCTCCGACATTTCATTTGGGCTTGCACCCGACGATGGAAAGGATAGACTGCTTGGCAGACAACGGCGTACGGAATTTGTCCGATTTCCGAATGTATTTGAATGCCACGAAAATCATGAACGGTACCGGGGCCAGAAAACCTCCACACTAGAAAATCCAATCTTCCGCGACGGTCTTGATGACATTGACGTCCGGAAATCAAAAGTACCACACATTGTGCGGATGACCATTGCTTGCATCGGTAAACAGACTTCGGGCCCACCTCCGACGCTGTTGTCTCTCCCAAGTTGATGCCCAGGAAGCCCCTTGGGTGCCGCCCTCACCGGCAACTTTGCCAGAGACGTCGAAGAACTCGATGAACGTCAGGTTGTTGACGTCCACGTCGACGAAGATGGCGCCATACGCGAAAATGGGCGCCTCTTCGTCTGTGACAGTGCCCGGGATGTAATATTCCTGACAGGATGAGAGGCAGTTAGCAAATAGCGGCTGAAAGGAAAACTAAGCAATGCGGTGTCTGTGCCCGGCACACAGAAATCCTGAAGATCGAAGCGACAGTTGGCAAAGTAATAGCTGGACAGGGAACTGAGACAGTTTTCTCGACGCATGCAAGTGCGTGTCTGATAAACAAAATGCATGTGAGGCTCACATTGTGAGCTATTTCAAAGTCGAAGGCCGGCAAGCAATGCTTCAGAACGACAAAAGAAGAACTTCTATGAGCGAATGCCTGTGGTGCTGAACAACTAACAAAAAAGAAAAACTGGTGAAGATCCGCAACAAAGCAATAATAAAAGCAATAGTCTATTTCCAGTGCGTGCATTGGCAACAATAACCTATTGTTCATTTTAAATCGAATTGATTTATATTGATCTAATAAAACGATCGATTACTGAGAAATCTAAGTACACGCGCATGCAAAATACAAAAATGCGGGCTTGCAGGCAAATCTGTGAAGCACTAATTTCGCCGGCATGTCCATACATGGCAGACTGGTCGAGCGCCGCCATTAGACAGCCAGGTCGACTTTGCCTACACAACGATCTCCTTTTCCTACTCAAGGACTATTGCAATCCAAGCGAATCGAGTCGCAGCAGAACGAACCCCCTGGATATTTCAATACACCTCCGATACACCTCCAATACACCTACGATACATTCGACACACTCTCAAGCCGTAATATATGTACATATATAATTTTTTTTAACTCCAATGTGTTCCGCGAAAATATTACTTCCTCCGTCCCACATTAATTGTCATCTATGAATTCAGGGTGCTACTTATCCATGTTACCTATGCCAGTTTTGGCAAAAATTTTCCCATAGTTGTGCTTTTGTCTTGGGAGTATGCTCTCAAAATTTCCAGCTAATCTATTAAGTATTGAGGATTTGGCAGTACTTTGTAGCAAGGGGTCTCCAGCCAGAAAACGGCCGGTTTGGGGCCTCGCGGCACGAATGGCCAGTTTTTCACGATGGTGAGGGGAACGCCTTCGCGATGGCGAAGCAAGGCCACTTGTAAAGAACTGGCCACGTCGCTTAGACTAAAAGTGGGGGCGGTCCCTATGAAGAGGCAGGGGGACAGAAAAAGGGCTCCCAAGGGCCTGATCGATGAACTAGCTGTGGAGTTATGGCTGCGATGCGAGAACGATCCAACGAATTGGAAGAGCATTTCGGACCCAGATCTCTAAGCCAAGCACTTTGGATCTCCATCGCCGCCGTCGAGCCAACTGTGGGAGGCCCCCCAAGACTTACAAAGAGGTGCGAGAGAAGGTGCTGAGCATCAACCCGGCTACGCGCTGGACAATCTGGGCAATGGCCTTGAGGATAGGAATGGCGAAATTGACGATTTTCCGGAATCCGAAAGGCTTGGGGGCAAGAATAACTGTTCCATGGATAAAGCCCTGTCTTTCTCAAGAGCAAAGAGTTGCCAGGTTGCGCTGGATTGTAGAGCACACGCATAAAGTTGGGCACAAGTGGCAATTTGTGGATTTTGCGAACACGATCCACATCGACGAAAAGTGGTTTTATGTGATGAAAGATGCCCAAAAGGTTTGGATGCTACCGGAGGATGGGCGTGTGGGTGCTCCAAAAGCACAAAGCAAGACTTTTATAACGAAAGTCATGTTTCTAGCTGCCGTGGGGCGACCCCATAGGTGGCCAAACGGGTCCCACTTTAGTGGGCTTGTTGGAACATGGCCCTTTGTAAAGGAGGGCGTTGAGGTTCGATCTAGCAAGAATCGAGCTGCAAGTGAGGCAGAATTGAAGCTAGTTCCAATTGATGGGGATGTGTGGAGGGATCTTATGGTAGAAAAAGTCTTCCCCGCTATCAGAAGTGCTTACAAATACTTCAAAGAGCACGTTGTTATCCAAGTGGATGGGGCCAAGCCGCATACCAAATCGTCGATCCAAGCATCAATTGAGGCCGAATGCTCCAAGCAAAATTATAATATTATTTTGGAGCAGCAGCCAGTTGTTGTGTGAACATTATCTTTGGTTCTTTATACGAGCAGAGTGAGATGCGACGCAAAGGCGCGCGGACCAATTATCCGCGCCTTGGGTGAGCATCGAGCGCAGCGAGGCGATTTGGGGATTTTGGCCATTTTCGGGCCATATCGCTGCATTGGAAAGAGGGCTTCGGGGACGGTCTGGGTGCCTGTGGGGACGGTGGGTTAAGTACAGGGTGACTTGAGGGTTATGTAACCGTGCTGTGTGCCGCGGGGACAAGACGCTGGGAACCCTGTAACGAACATCCGTTTTGCTGTCACTGCCGGCCTGCGAACCGCGCGCAAGGCAACGCCGGACCCAATCCGCCCTTCCGACTGACGCACCGCAAAGGCCGTTCCACCAAGGGGCCCACCACGTCCGCGCCGCATCGAGATCGAGCAAGCGACCGTGCCGATTACGCCTGGCCATCCGCCGGAGGGATCGTCGATCCATCGCACGGGGCGCGCGCGGAAAAACCACGCGCCACCAGCCCAGAGTCCAAACTCCAACATCTTGGACCTTGGGCTCTTTCACTCATTTCAGGTCCATGCATCAGAGATCAAGGATGGTGGGGATCTCCAAGACATCGTCAATTCTGTGACAACAGCATTCTACGATCAAGATCCAGATATGCTTGAGCATGTCTGGCAAGCTCTCTTCTACGTGATGGACACCATGCTTCGTTGTGATGGTGGCAACGACTATGCCTTGCCACATGCAGGGACAGGAGCAGCCAAGATGCGCGGAGATCTTCCGTGGACGTGGAATGTGAATGCATATTTTTTGGACCGGGCAAGGGCTTTTTCCGGGGCCCCTCAAAGGGGGTAGGGCTAAATATTTTTTCTTGAAAACTGGAAGTTTAGGGTTTTGGGACCCAATTTTTTCGATTCTGACCTTGTTTTATAATTTTGAGACTATCTTTATAACGAATTTTGTCTTTTAAATAGACGACAATTAATTTGGGATAGAGGAAGTATAAAAGGAGCTCCCCCGTAAATTGTAATAGTAAGGATTCTTTACCAGCAAGAACTGATGTATTGTGACGTGGCTGCTTGAAGTTAGGCTCATTTGACATTTTTGGAGATATAGTTATGTAGTTGGCTAAAGCAACCTTTTGAAGTGTTATTTAGAGCTTCTTGGTTCCAACGCGCCTTTAAACGCCCGATTCCGTTAAGAATTGACGAAGATATGGCCTTCTGAAATCGTAGCACTTAGTGTGGTGTAAAGCACAGGGGGTAGTATGTTTCTCTAGTAATTGAGTTACTGGGAGGTTAAAGTACAATAAACAATATGATTGAATATCTCATATGAAAGTAGAGTCCATTAGGAGCTCATAGGTTCTTGAACCACCTCCATTGGGTTAGCGGTAGAGGAGTTATGGTTAGACATATTACCAGCACTTTAGACTCCCTCGCCGGAACCGCATTGGGGGATGAGATACAATCGTATGGGCCCGTACGCTGCATTGTCATGTGATCCGGGTGGAGGCCACCCCTCAAAGGGGCGACCTCCTGTCAGACTGTAATTTTCCATTCTCTCGCCCACTCCGCGCACCCTGCGGTTGCACCCGCGAGCCCCACGGCGCCGCGCATCCACAGTGCGCCCGGCCGCCCCGCGCCTGGCCATCCGCAGGCCTGGGCCCACACTGCGCACCCCGAAGGAGCGAGCGCCCTGGACAGCCCGCCGGTCATCCGGTGGAGGAGGCCCATCCGGGCCGATTGGGCGCCGCGGCGGGAGCCTCGCCCGCATCGAACCGAAAACCATGCCACTTAGGGCCAGGGGGTTGGGTGTTAGATGCTTGGAATTAGAGGACAATGGGTCGATCGTAGGTGAAGGGTGGACGGTGACGATGTGCCTGGACATGCACTTGACTTGTCTTGTCTTGATGTGACCGTGATGGACCCGCAATCGGGCATTGCGCATGCGGTATGTGTGCGCGCATGCAGTGAATCCGTGTAACATCCTTTGGCCCACTCTCTGGCCTCCCGTGAGCCAGCAAACCACCACCGCACTGCGCCACCACCTCTCACCGACAGCAGGCCCCAGGGATCGATCCCCGTCGAGCATTGGGCCCACCGCGCAACCACAGGAGTGACTACCCCGGATACGCCCACCGTCCAAGGTGGAGAGGGCCGGCTGACCTCCAACAACCAAGCCGTTGGGCAGGGCGACCCCAACCCCTCCAGAAACCAGCGGCTACTGACGGGGCCGCAATATGTATGGTCCCAAACAAGAGAAGAGGAAAAGCAACATCAATGTTCAATGAACTTTTGATGTCTCTGCGGGGAGTCCTATGCACCGAAGTGAGAAATTGTTGCAAAAAGGAGAAACATATATACATGTATACAAATATACATACATGCCACATAGTGTAGTACATTTGATATGTTCGCAAGGGGGCGGGACTTGCACCGACTTGCGAAAAGAGTAGTTGCTGATTGGGTTGAAGATGCACTCGAGGATAAAGGCCTAGAACTCCTCCGGGTACTGTGGGTTGATGGTGTTGAACTGGTTGTTGCCATCCCAGGGGTTAGTGGGGTCGTCCTTGGGTGGGTTTTTCACACGGAACTCAAACCCCTTGGTCATGAGGACGGCGCCCTTGGAGTCGCCAAAGAAGTCGAGGGGCAGGTCGCCCAGGACCTCGGAGGCCTCCCAGTTGATTTGCCTGTGCAGCCACAGGGAGCGGGGGCCTCAGGGTAGGCCCTAGAGGGCTGCATTTGGTGGCAAGCATTGAGTCACTAAGTTCATCTGTTGAGCTAGCTGATGCTGGGATATGTTCACTAGTAGAAAGCGCTCTCAAGGGGTCGCTCATTTGACACAATTTCCGATTGTTGTTGAAATTGTATTGGAGTGGAGCATAATCGTGCATTTGAAGTTGGAACCGCGGCACCATGTGACTAAACGAATTCTTTGCTCTCGCCAAGAGATGTGGAGGTTCTGCTGTTGTGGGGATTTTAGCATCTGCCAAAAAAGGGCCAAGGAGGCAAAATCACTGCTGCAAAGTCAATGACATTTTTAGGCATAATGCATAATTGTGTGTGTGTGGTGGTGGTGGCGGTGGGCTGGGTGGGTGGGGGTTGTGGTGGGTGGGGTGGGTGGGGGTGGGGGTGGGGTGGGGTGGGGGTGAGGGTGACTTATAGGGTGTTTAGGCATGTAAAGGCTGAGCCAAGTCGCCAAGTACTGGTAGGGACCGAAACTTTGAAGCATTGGCAAATTTTCACAGACATGTAACGGACTGACGTAATGAACAGACATTGGGGACGTCCCCAAATGCCCTGCCTACACCGTGCAGAGGGGCCGAATTCCTCATAAGAGTCTGGGTGGAGCAAAAGTGCAACTGCAACGCGTGCCCTGCATTCCTTGGACTCCCCGGGGACTGTTGTCTCTGCACACTAGAGCCTCGGGTCACTGACGACAATAATGCATGTTCCAATCGATCGACCGATCGATCCATCCAACATGCAACAACTGGCGCAAGGGTCTCTTGATCCCCATGCAGGCCCATTTGCTGCATTGCAGTATATGCTGATGTGCCCTTCGCCGCGTCCGACTACTGTAACCCCCACCTCCAGCACCCTTGCCCTGCGCACCCCTGAAGCCGCCCTCGATGGGCCCCGGCTTGCCGTTGTTGTCCTCCCCTGCAGCACTGCAAACTCCTCCAGTGCCGGCCCCACTTGGGACGCGTTGCCTGCCACCTCGAATCACCCTCACCTCCTGGGCGGCCGTATAAGCTAGCGCCAGCGCGAAAAACACGGCGCCCGTGGGTGCCTGTCGGCCACAGCAAACAAGCACAGCAACAAGGGACAGTCAATCAAAAACTATCAAAAATCAATGCACCGAGCTTGCTGCTTAGACGACGCTATTACCTGTGGGCAGTGGCGCGGTTCTTGAGACGACCGCATTGATGGATGATTTGTCAAATGGATCGCCCCACTGCCCAATAGGCATTACTTGCGCAGTACGCAGCCCAAGGACGCCAGCAACGGTCGGTACTCACGGGATCCTCACAAAGGGCGCCGCAGCGATGCGCACCAGGCACGGATGGGCAAAGCCATTGGCCAGGCTGGGCGGCGAAACCTTCCTGCTTGGGGCCACATGCCAGTGGGCTCCCGACGCAAGCCCCGACTCAATTTTCAAGCTCACGGACAGCATTGGCACCTTCCTATGCAAAAAAGGATCCCGGAGGCCTGGCCTGAGGCGAGGATCGCCCAGTACCGACCAGCGCTACTTCTCATGCAGAGACGCAACTTTCACCGCTCCGCGACTGCTCACATTCATCCTGGCGACGGCTCCGGAACCGCGGCCAATTGATAGATCTGGCGCCTGGACCTTCGCACAGAAAGAAGAGGGGTCAGGTTCCCGACGCCAGCAGGCAGCGGCGCTTCCCATCAATCGCAGCCGCAGGGCGGCGCACACGGTTTGTCACACTTCATCATAATCGCGGACCCGTTGCCACAACCCCACGGACTCCTCTTGCTGGCGGGGCTGCAAACGACGTCCCCACAGAACAAAGCACACCGCCCACGATGCCTCCTACTGCTCCCCGCCCACAACACCAAAAATAGGGCGCCAAGCCACCACGGGCGATAGCCGCAAGCTGTCCGCAGCCAAGCATTCCAGTCCACTGGAATCGATCGCAATTCAAGTGCGCGGCATCGCGGGCCCAGGCGCACAACCAACGGAGCGCCGTCCTTTGGGCTCGTCATCCGGCGACACCTTCCTACCAACACCCAGCCACTCTACCCACACAAGTTGCGGCCCACAGCCCTAGTGTGATCAACTGTCCGATCCAATGCCTCCCCAACAAACCGCCCACGACGGCATCCCCTCTGTGCCATGCTCCCACATTTCAACACTCCCCAACCAAAGCAGGAAGGCTCTTCATTTCAGTCGCTGCCTGTGCACCAAACGGTCTTGACCCGGAAATGCCGGCCGCCAGCGCAAACCTTGCTCTATTTGTACCCCGCACGGTGCACCAGCCATGACCTCTCAAGAGTGTGCCACATACCCGTCAATCGATCTGGGGGGCAGCGGGGGCGTCTCGCTCCACCAGCGCCAGTATGTCAGTGCGCAGCGCATGAGTTTCCGCAGATTGGGCGTTGAGCCTAGGCATTCTGGATGACTACTCTGTGACGGTACACTACGACGCGCAGCCTGGCTATTGCGGGGCCCTTTTTAATGGCCTCCACTGGTCCCCTTTGTCGCGCGTGTCCCACTTCATCCGCCTGCACCCGGTCGGGCCAATGGCCCCTCCGCCAAACCCGGCGGGCATAATCGGTGTGCTCGCTTGTTCTCTGCATGGTGGGCCCTCTTGCGCTCTGGGATCAGGCGGTCTTGCTATTCGAAGACAGCGGGTAGCAAGACAGCTTGCTCCCTGGGCCGCGAGGCCCATGCGGAGTGCGGCAGTGAGCCAAACGGGGTAACAGAGCGGGGAGCAACGCACCCCCGCGTACGTACTGATGCTGATGGTCGGCCACATTCCGGCCTGACCATCCATCACACAGACACCACACAATGTACATCAGCGTGTTACGACTGTATCGCCCGGCATACCCCCGTATCGGACCCACTATTGATACACCGTAGCCCAATCTACCCCCACGGCCTATCCCTTAAGTACAGGGACTTCCCTAAGCCACAAAGTACTCCATACCTGGGGGATTTAGACAAGTAAAGAGCCTACGAATATCTAGAGATCACAAAGAATCCAAATAATGGGTCTAATCCCATGGATAACTAGCCAACCATGACTAATGGCCATAATCCTCTTGACCCCCATGTGTTTCCACAACAATACTTCCCTTTGGGGGGAGTTTTCACCCTCGAAAACAAGTTCGCACTCAATGTCCTCGATCGGCTACCCAATGGTTGACCTAACTGCCAAGCTAGTATCATCTCAGGTATACTCCAATGACCATCGGTCCAATCCCTCTATAGAATTTCGGGATATGTTCCAGTGCACAAGAAAATCAATTGACCTTCTTGCTATCAGGACCTCTTTAGTATCACTGCAACAGCTGCTCATCTCAAACATCTCAAAGTCAGGTCTCTCCCATCATTGTGTCAGATGTACACTCATGTTTATCTTGAAAGCAGAAAAGATGAAATAATGCTATGACCTGTGCCCGAATACATCAGGTCAGCACGAGTGCTATCTGCCTGTACACTAAGTGTGTTGCCAGTCGACCAGGAGCATCCGACTATCCACTACTTGACAACTCTGATATAGAAACAAAAAACTTATGAGCCAGTTGTCCATCTGGGGATCAGTATAGATCTATTGATAATCTTCTCTGTCCTACTCCCTCAGATGAATCTCTCTGAAGTATTTTTTCCTCTTTGAAACTGCAGTGTACCTTAGTCATTCCATCTCTAAATCCACCATGACAAGGTATCCCAATAAAAGATTTCGCAACTCGTCACTGCATTGATCAATCATAGCCCTCTATATCTCAGCCCAATCATCAATCAGTGAAACATTGGCCTGGCCTCAACTTCCGGTGTCCCATACCACTGTCCGTCTTACCAGCACCAAACCTCCTATCTCAAGGAGGACTGAATAAAACTCAACTCCATTCAGATCTAAAGACAATGATATACAGATCATGCACCACTGTATTGAGTCAACAAAATCCCAACACCATAGAAACAAAATAAATAGCCGCAACTACTCTCTTAAAAAGAATAAAGGTGTCTATAGCTCGTTTTTGTTTTTACCTCTCTCCCGGATCCAGAGTTCATTAAAGAATGACAGATAAAATCAAGAAATTTGTTCCACTTCCTTCCCGTCTATGCCCTCAGCCGGGATAGTCTCACCATAGGATGTTATGAAAAACTATCCAGTATCCTCAAAAATATTTCTCAATCAGACATTTGGCGCCATTGTCCGACTGTTTTCCGGTCTGGGCCCAGCCAACTGTGGCCATGATTGTTAACATGGGAGTAGATATGAGCATCCTCATGTCACAACCATCAATCTCAATATCAACCACACAACCAAAATGTCCGACCGTCATCAAAGCAATCTCCTCTAATCCAACTCATTATGCCTCAATTTTGATACAGATACACTCTCAACCGCTGATTGCAATCGAGAAAGGACTCCTCGAGTGTGATCAAGTGGCCTCGACCTCAATAACCAACCACATCACAGAGCACCACTGATCTAATATGGGTCATCATTCTTGGATTCCAACACAGTCGTCGATACAGCAAAATGTACTCTGGGCGCTCTCGGTCGACCTCCTATTATGGGCCCGGAGGAAATGCAATCAATGCGCTGGGCGCCCCCATTTTTAACGACCGGGGGATGGGCACTTCCTCTTATGAATACATAGCAAAATTCGATCACTTCTGTATCCAAGAATGTGTATATGACCAGTATCCGCCAAATCCCTCATACATTCAAATAATCATCAGCCCACAATATACACCAAATATAGATCATCGGTGCTAGCTCAACCCATCACTGCTAACCACCATGCAAGTGAACGGGTCTGCCATCCGCTATAACCATTCACCGATTTTGACCTTGTGTGTCTGTACCTGAAAATGAGGATGCTGAGACTGGAAGCTATCTCTGTCCTCTGGCTTAGAGGTGGCCACCCGGATCCGTTAATAGCGGACAGAGGCTAATTTCCGTTAATTTTCCGTTAATTAACGGAA